CACACTTGGGGAGCCAGAAAGTACCCACATGCTACTGAGCCAGGCCTTAAGTTCCATGAGAACAGAATCTCCTTGGTTAAGGATCTCACCCTATGTATCTCTTCATCTGGCTGTTGATTTATATTCTTTATCATATCCTTTAATAAACTGGTAAATGTAGTAAGTGTTTCCCTGAGTTCTGTGAGCCACTCTAGCAAATTAATCAAATCTAAGGAGGATGTCTTTGGAACCTCCAGTCTGTAGGAGGGCTGTCAGAAGCACAGGTAACAGCCTGGGGCTTGCTACTGGCATCTGAAGGGGGTGGGAATCAGGGACAGTCTGGTGAGACTGAATCCTTAGCCTGTGGGATCTGATGCTATCTCCTGGTGGATACATCAGAACTGAGTTGATTGGACACCCGGCTGGTGTCCAAGAATTGTGTTGTATGTGGGGGAACCCACCCCCACACAGAGATTGGAATTGGGTCCAGGAACTCTAAAAGAGTCACCAGTCTGCAGAATTTTCTTTTTTAAAATCAATGTGTTGACAGTTATTGTGTCAATCTATATAATGAACAAGGGTTGGGTTTTTTTCACTTTAGAAGTACTTAATCATTTTATTATAATTAAGCTAGAAAAACTCAACTTTTATTTTGATTTGTCAGTTTTTATATTCTAATTTGGTAACCAAAAAGATTTCATGTCTGAGTTACTAAAAATTTAAGAATGTCAAGCAAACCTGAATATTTCTGTTCTTTCTGGGTGCCTGGGTGGCTCAGTCAGTTAACCATCTGCCTTCAGCTCAGGTCATGATCTCAGGGTACTGGGATCAGGCCCCTCATCTGGCTCCCTGCTCAGCAGGGAGTCTGCTTCTCCCTGTGCCCTTCCTCGTGCTCTCTCTGTCTCAAGGAAATAAATTAAAATCTTTAAATATATATATATATATATATATATGTTCTTTCCTTTATAAACCAAAAGAGCAAAAAGAAAAGAAAAGGTATCTTAGAAGTTTGATTATTTTGGATTTGGGGCCTGAATTTTAGGGGGAAAAAATAAGAAGTTACTTAAACAAGAGTGCTAGTGGTTGAAATAGTAGGAAATGTATGGATTTGAGGTGTATTTTGAAGATAGAGCCAGCAGGATTTTCTTACTTTATGATTTTAGGCAAGTGGCTAAAAAAAAAAATTTTTTTTTGAGACTGAGCACTGCCCTCCTGTTTTTCCACTCCTGCAGCAGCTGCAAAGTGAATCTGCCCCCGCCCCGCCCCCCGCACACCCCCTCAGCCTAGAGGGGGGCTCAGCACCCTGAAGGGATGTGTGTAGGGTGGAGACGGCCAGCTACGACCAGCTGGGGGCCCTGGAAAACCTCCCATACACCCCCACCCCCACCCCCTTCTTGCGCTGCCGGCTTCAAGTCCAAGAGCCGAGGCGGGCCGCGCAAAGAAAGTACTGGATGGAGACAGACCCGCACCACCTCCTGGGCCTCCCTCCGCCTAAGACGGACAGACTGGTGGCGAGGTTATCTTTGCTGTGCCTACTTACTTGAATCCGCCCCCGAGATTTTCTTCTTGATACACTTGGGTTGTGGTGTGCCAGCCTTAAAAATAAAAGAGCCAGTTATTATCTTCCTACTTGCTGCGGGTTCTGTAGGCTGCAAGGGTGGTACCTGGGTGTGAGCTCCCGCGTTGTCTTCCCCCTCCATTCTAAAAGAGGCTTCCTGTATTTATTTTCTCAGGTGGGAGGAGACTGAAGCCGGGGGAGGGAGCCCCGGGAGCCTGTTGTGAATCTCCGGCAAAAGCGCTTGACACAGCGCCGGAGACGAAGTCCGGAGTGTCCCCATCTTCTCGTTCCTTCTTTCCTCCTCTCCTCCGTCCCCCATGCCCGATCACAATCTCTCCCCTCTCACACCTCTGTCCCCTGCACCTTCCTCCCATCTTAAGCACGCACAGGGTTTCGTTCTCCTCCTGGAGAGGATTGCCTTTCCTCAGAGCAAAGGGGTGGGGTGAAGAAAGGAGGAGGCTAGAACACACCCTCCGCGGAAATTAGGGTAAGTACAGCAGCTACATTGAATAAGCGTCAACCTGCTCGCCATCGCCGTCGGAGGGGAAGCATCAAGTTTCACGTGATCTCCTTGCAAGAGACTTTAACTCTCGCTTAATTCCTTCAAATGGGACAAAATTATCCAACAATCCAGACCACCTTCAAGTGCTTAATTGCTTTTGCTTTTAAGTGCAACCATCTGACTTTTCCTGTTTCCTTCTGTCCTGTGAGCCTATTTGATGTTGCACGTCGGTGTTAATGATGTGTTCGTTCCTGAACTTTGAGGGGTTTCTTTAAAAATAGATTATTACTTTCCTGAGGTTCCCTGGTATGGCCTTTATTTGGGGGGAGGGGTCGGCAAAAGATTTTTCAAAACATTGGTAGGTATTATCAGGAGGCTTCAATTTCTACTTTGAGAAAGTTAACCTTCTAGTTAGCTTTGTACACATGTTGATATTCACCTTCTCAAATATCAACCCTTTGGTGAGTAAAGCAACTGTTTCACTTTTGCGGTGAGGAAAAAAAAAGATCAGATTCAATGTAGAAAAATTATTTTGAAAAAAATCAATTTTTTCATGCAAAATTACACAAATAATATTATCCTAGGTACCAGGATAGGACCAGAAACAGGAGTCAGATAACTGTGCAGTTGATTATCCAATGCCAATAATGCACAATCTTCATTATCTCATTTTAGAGCAATAAAAAAAAGGTAAAAGTTGCAAATATAACCTGAAATGATCACTTTTATTTAATATAGTCATGTGAGTGTGCCTAAGGAGAAGGACAGGATACCTAATGCTCTTGGGTTTGCCTGTCTCCTAATAGATGTGGACTCACAGCAAGATAGGCACGGCTGAAGCCAGAAGTGTCAATTTTCTGATTGCACAGTTTTTTAAAAACAGGAAAATATGTTTAACAAACATGCATTCAAAAGAAATATGGTTTCTACCACATCCCATTCCGGAGGTTCCTTATCATGGACAAATAGACAATCTATGAGAAACAGCTTCAAATTTATGGGTTTCATCTAATATGACTTCTCAGGTTCCCAGATCGTTCAGGGAAGTCCATTTCTTATTCAGTATCTCTAGCGCTCTGCCAATCTCTGGCTGACAATAGAAACATTTTCAACTCCCAGATGACTTCAAAATATAGAAAAAGAATCCTGTAGTGATGATGTGAGGAGCTCCTAATATCAGTTGAACTCCAGATGAGTAGACTAATCATAATAATCTCATTTCCCTTGCCAGTGATCCACTTAGAATATGGCACAAGTCCTAATTTTGAAATGAGGTAAAGCCTAAGAGGCTTCCAGGATAGGTTTTCCCACTTCTGAAAAGAGACACAAAAAAGACTTTGTCCCTCCTCTTCTCCTCTTGGTTGGGACTGAACATGATTTGGGAAAGAGCTACAAGCATCTTGCTACCAGCCTGAAGATGAAGCCAACGCCACTATGAAGTGGGAGGGGAGGAATACACAGAAACTGAATCTGAGCCCTGACCTGCTATCCCTGGACTTACTGTTATTGGCAGTTTCCCATTTGAATTTACATATGTGGTTTCCCACCAGTTTTATTGAAGTATGATTGACGGATAAAAGTTGCATGTATTTAACTGTAGGATTTGATTTTTTTGTTATTCAATAGATATTTATTGATTCAATATTTTGCATATATTTAACTGTATGATTTGATTTTGTATGTTTTTTTTTAAAGATTTTGTTTATTCATTTGACAGAGAGAAAGAGGCAGGAGAGAGGGAACACAAGCAGGGGGAGTGGGAGAGGGAGAAGCAGGCTTCCCGCGGAGCAGGGAGCCTGATGCAGGGCTCGATCCCAGGACCCTGGGATCATGACCTGAGCCGAAGGCAGACACCTAACGACTGAGCCACCCAGACGCCCCTGATTTTGTATATTATTCAATAGATATTTATTGATTCCAAAGTAAGGGCACTTTGCAGAACATTGGAACCTATGGATAGTTCCTGCAATTGAAGGACCTTACACTCCAGCGGATAACCTTGAAAAGCATCTGGAAATGTCTTTTTTTTTTTTTTTAAGATTTTAATTATTTATTTGAGAGAGGGAGAGAGAGAGAGAGAGCGTGAGTGGGGAGGGGCAGAGGGAGAAGCAGGTTTCCTGCAGAGTGCAGAGCCTGAAGTGGGGCTCGATCCAGGGACTCCAGGATCATGACCTGAGCCGAAGGCTGACGCTTAACTGAGAGCCACCCAGGCTCCCCTGGAAATGTCATTTTTTATTGAGATATAATTGACATTTAACATATTAGTTTCAGGTGTATGACATAATAATTCGATATTTGTATTGTTAAAAAAAAAATTCAGCCACGCAAATAACTTCTGAATAAGACATAGAATTCTCTTAAAGTACGTGGGAGGGAGATGGGCCCTGTTCAGTCAGAACCATGATTTTTAAGTTGCCCTTTCCTCAAGGATTAGCAATCTGATGAAGGATAAAGGAGCCTAAATTCTGCGTTTGGGAATCTATGGTCACTATATAATATAAACGTTTTTGTCCCAGTCCCACCACTTCCACTTCCTAATCTATAAAAATGGAAATAACTGCATCTTCCTCACAGGGTTGTTATAAAGTACTTAGACCACAATTTAAGTTATATTAGCTGGTTGGCACTACTGAAGTGATCCTCATACGGGTACATCCAGTGCTGGGGAACATGAATCTCTCTGAACTATACCTAATGCTGGTGAGCAATGTGGCTTTCATAATCCCACAGTTTTGTTGCATTTATTATCGGGGAAACGATGGAACTCAAAGAAGGCCTGTGTTGCATTCCAGGTTCCTCCATCCTTAGCCATGACAACACCAAACGGCCTGGCGGGAGGTTGGCGCTAGGCACTGCTGGGACTCCGTTGGTCAGCCCGGATTGGAGGGAGCCAATCGCCAAGCGCTCCTGGAGGGGGCGGGGCCTGCGAAGGGACCAACCAGGCCTGTGCTCAGACGGCGAGCAGTCTCGTCCCGCCTCCCGGCCACGTGGGGTTCTCTCTTCCTGCAGATCCGGCCCTGGGTACGAGCAATGGCGCCCTTCAGTATGAAGACCCAGCCCGGATCCCACAGCCCAGGAGCCAGCAAGAAGTGTTCCCTTTCCAGGAATTGGCTCCTTATGCACACTCAGCAGTACTGGTGTAAGTTTAAGCACTTTCTGAAGCCATCAGTGCTTCACCTGGAGGCACGTCTGCTGGAAAAGATTTTCGGTGAGTACGCTCAAATCTTTACCACTCGGCCCTGCCTTGGTCTCCGGTGACTACCGTGAGCCACCCACTGCAGACCTAAGGCAGTGGCTAGTGTCCTGCAAGCCAGTGTCCCAGTGACCTCCTTCGCCTGTCCCCGCAAGCTCCAAGTCTTGGCCCATTCCGCCACCCCCACCCGCCTAACCCCTCGGGAATCTTCCATTCTCCACAGGTCCAAGCAGAGCCCTCCTTCCGGGCTTCGAACGGGAGTTCAAAGTCCTGCTCCAGATGAGAGAGCGCGACTCCGAGGGCAAGGTTGAAATCTTCATCATGGGGAGACACCGGTACCGCAAGCGTGCCAAACGGCTGATTCGCTTTTTGGCCGTGAAGCCGCAAAGGAAGCCGTGCGAAGGTAAGGAGCGTCTTTTGCCTAGACGCTAAGTGCTGCAGACCTAGACTGTGCTAAGGGAACTTTCCCTTCCACCACTCCTCTCCCGCAAGCCTGGGACTCCCTCATATCTGGGGATGCTAGGATTCCTGAGTTTCCAAGGGAGTCACAGAAACCCTGGAATACAGCACTGTGGGAGGCAGCTGGCTTCCTTCCAAGGAAGGAAGAGCTGTAAGGAACCTCCTACCCCAGGCCCTTCCCACCTTTGTGCCTGCCTGATCTCCCTTTTCAGAAGCTGGGAGGGAAGCCATCTGGACCCCACTTTGTGAGATAAAAGTAGAGCCTGGGAGGTCCTGTACTCAGTGATGACTTAGACTGAACGCAAGAGCACTGTAAAAATGCAGATTGCTCACCACGACTTCCCTCCAACCCCACCCAGGAGTTAGGCATATTGGCAAACTAAAACTTCTGTTCCTCAGTCTCCTCACCTATAAAATAGGTCTAGTCATAGTAGCCTACATAGAGGTTTTTTCCCAAGGACTAAATGAGTGAATACAATAAAGCACTTAGAATACCTAGAAAATACTTGATAAATATGAGCTGTCATTATTTTATTGGGTGTTCTGGGTGATTCTGATGTAGGTGGTAGGAACATACCACCTACATCAGAATGACCCAGAACACCCAATAAAATAGGTGACCAGTAAGGTAGACTCAGCAGTGTTTTCTGTGGAGTCGCTTTCCCTATGTGTCCTGTGTGTTCTCCTGGGCAGTATACTTGCTCATTCCATGCTTTCCTTCCAGGCACAATGATGCTCAGCCTGGAAACCATGAAGTCTCTTGAAAAAGAGAATGTTCATTCCAGTGCTTTCCTCTCCACCATAGTGATGAGCAGCCTGGATGAAGCCATGCAGTCACTGGAAATAAGTCAGGAGACTGTCCAGGAACCTGTTACCAAAACAGTGTGATTTTTGTGATTAGGATCTCAGTGCAAGGGGTTCAGTCTGGGTCAGGAGCCTTACCCTTAGAGGCCCATTCTGTACTCTGCCTTTGTTCCTGTGGCTAAGGGGAAATAAGTATTGTTAGTGGTCTACACACCTTTTTCTTCCTAAACAAATAGACAGTTGTTTAAAGATTCAAACGTGAGTTATAATAAAAAATAAACTTTAAAAAAATATATAGATAGAGATTAGTATCGTCAAGAAAGGCAATCTTGCTTTGCATGCTCCAAGAAGGGAAAGAGCTAAGAATTAACAAATGGTTGGTTCTCCTTTTTCATAGTGTTTTGTATTAGGTGGGTATAGCTAGGATCTTTAATGTTCCAGGGAGCTTTTGTAGATAAGGAAGAACTTTACTGTTTATTCTTTCATTAATGCTAATTTTGAAAAAAAAATGTTACATTGATATTAAACAAGCTTTATAAACCCAATTGTTAAGCGTTGAAACATTGGTGACAAGCTGATTCCATTCTCTTTGGTATTTAGTTAAAAAGAAGTCTGTTATGTTTCTTTGTCGTCTTTTTTAATAGCTTAAATGGCAAAACACATTAGTGAGTACCAAATTTATTATGACTAGAACAAAAGCATCTGTATGTGGTTCTTCATTATTCCTATAATTCCAAATAGAATAGCTTTCCTTTTTTTTTTTTTTAAAGATTTTACCTATTCATTTGACAGAGAGAGACACAGCGAGAGAGGAAACACAAGCAGGGGGAGTGGGAGAGGGAGAAGCAGGCTCCCCGCGGAGCAGGGAGCCCGATGCGGGGCTCGATCCCAGGACCCCGAGATCATGACCTGAGCCAAAGGCAGACGCCTAACGACTGAGCCACCCAGGTGCCCCTAGAATAGCTTTCCTGATTTAAATAATTTTATTAGTTACTTTACTTTCTCAGAGTATTACTGTCAATAAAAGAAAAAGGATTCCATCTCAGCCCAACTGTGTTTGCATATCCTGGGTTTACTGACCAATTACTTCTGGGTCTGATCCCAAGAATACCATTTATTGAGCATTTGGTATAGACCAGGTTTTGTTAAGTACTTTACATACATTATTTGACTTGATCTTCATAATAATCCTATGAAATCATAATCTATGAAAATAGATGTGATTATGCCCATTTGACAGATGAGGAAAGGGCAGGGTAGGAACATCAAATAATGGGTATCCTGCCTCTTTGTCACTTTTCATGTTGATACATGTTCACACTACACTGTAAACTCCTTATGGCATTAGGGATGGTGTTTCAGTTTTCTTTTACCCCTGAGGCCCTAGGCACATAGTTAAACACTGGGTTTTGACTGTTACAGTCATTGGCTTATTTACAAACCAGTCAGCCCTAGTTAATGCAAATAATGCTGTTCATGAATAAAAACCAGGTCTGCCACGTGGCCATTTGGCCATATATGACTCCCTGCAGTTTCATATTAATATAATCAGGATAATTTACTGAATTGTTTTTTCCCCATTTCCCTTAGCAATAACATGGTACTCCAGAGAACATGGTACTAAAGAACTGAGGACGCAACTGGCTGGGTTTAAAAATGCCTCTGGCAGTAGGTGCTTGGGGCCCACCCAGGCAGCCCTGCCGGGAGGGGCCACACTTAGTCACTAGCTCACAGGCTTAGGGTCCGTAAACAAAACGTTCCAGGGAAGCTCCTCTGGCTCTAGGTCATGTCACATCACCCTAGGAGAGAAAAGCCAGGCTTCACCTTGGGCCTCAGCAATGGCCTACCACTTGGAAGGGTAAGGCCTTGAAGACCTACCCAGGCATAAATGTGGAAAGTTTCTTTACAGTCTTCTATGTCATTCAGCTTGGCCACGATCAGACAGACTCGTAGGAATTAGGATTTGAGGTAGTCTCAGTCTAGGGCAGCATTCATTCAGGTGCTTTGGGGCCTCAGTCATCTGGAACCTGGGGTCTAAGACTGGCCCCCTGCCACAGGAGTGTTCTTTCTGCTCTGCCATGTCATCTCTGTAGATAACCTCAGGGTAAATAAATAACTGACCCACCTCAAGGTTCTACCCTCACCCTCTGTGTCACTCCTGGGAGTACCTGGAGGTGTGGCAGAGAAAGCTTCCAGCTGGAGCTGCTCACTTGCTACAGCCTTGGGACTCCCAAGTTTTTCGTTTTCTCTCCTTAAATGATTCAGGCTTTGCTTGATAATAGTTTTTGTCATACTGTCTTTGTCATTCTATGTACTGACCTGGCCTATTAATATTTAAAAATTTCTGTATCAAATTTGCATGGTAGCTGTTTTCTTAGGACATTTGAATAATCCATTATTATTGTGAGGTACCGTTGGACCATCTTTCCATTTTGTTCTTTTGTGCCTGGTCATCATTGTTGCTCATCCTTCTTGTTCCTGGTATAGTTCCAGCTTTTTCCATATTCCTTTGGCCTATTCAGTTTACTAAATCCATCCTTCTCTACCTACATAGAGAAAATGTGCATATTTATATTTGATAGCTATATCTATACTTGATGGAAGAAATAATACCCAGATATTTACCTTCCTACCAACAAATGAAGGTTAAACATACCCATTTATGTTTCTTATTTGTGAATCACAATTATCTTTAAATTTGTACATTAACTTATCACTTAGGTCATGACTAAGAGTGGGAGACTATAAGGGCAGAAAACTTTTCCCTTCTTCTAGTTTCTTTGGTCTAATAATTAAAGTGACATAAGACAGATTAACAGGAGAAAAACAAACTTCATATGTACAAGAGCCCTGAAGACACGAGACCCAAAGACATTCAAGCAGTGGAAGCTTATATGCCATCCTAAGCTAAGGAGAAAGGGGTTGGGGTCTCAGGCTTCAAAGGGGAAAAGACAATTCACAGGAAAACAAGAACAAGAAGAGCAAATGTTTGGTAAACAAATGTTTGCTGAGCCTCAAGCCTTGTAGATAAGTCTTTCTGATATAAAAAGTTATCAGTAGTAATAGCTGTCTTCCTGGTATGGGCATCTATTGAAATTCTTTTAGGCAGTTAAGGGGAGGTAAAAAGCTCTTCCTGAGTCTGCTGGGCCTCATTGTCTTCAGCCTAAAATAATAATAATAATAAAAGTTCCATTCATGAGGGTTTATTAGATGGCAAATTCTTATTTTTCCCCGGGGAAAAAACCTTCGTTCCACCCGTGTTCTTATTTTTATTTTTTTT